TTGTAATCCCAGTACCCAATTCTGGGTGGTATGTATGCTTTCTAAGTCTCCCCATAGCACTGACAGTTTAAGAACTGTCAGAAGTTGTTGAGTAGGTCCAATGAAGTCAATAATTAGTTTATTTACAGCAGGTCTTTATGAGCTGAATTGAAATGAAAAGATGCAGACAAACAATCTCTCTGGGACTAGGAATGAAGATCAGTTCTTATCACTACCTTTTTAAATGCACACTCAAAAGGAAATAAATATCCTCAGCAAAACAGATTGATTAACTAAATATTTTATAGTTTATATAGAGCATCAGGTAAACCTTTAAAATCATTTCAAGGTATCCTAGCTGGATATCACAGACATCCGTATGTCATCTAGGTGAATAAAACATAATATTGTATTGAAATTTAATGGAAAAGAACTTCTTATTCACCTGGAATACAAACCCTGTTACAAAATGTTACTCATCTTCAAAAGCACAAAGGCGTATTGCATTCATTTAGAAAATTCTACTTCCAAAATATTTCACCTAAGCCATGAATTTGCTCATGAGTACTGTATATATGAAGATGATTTACAGTATCTTCAAAAGTAATTTCAAAATCTCTTTGCACTGTGTGTGGGTGAAGCAGCACTGAGCCCTGAGCAATGCCAATGTAGGCATGTTTTTTTTTGTTTTCTTATTTAACAATGAGTAAGATTTTCAAAAAAGTGATTTTTTAAATAACCTCTGATAAAATGAAAACTTGCATTAGGTTAATGTTATAGAACTTTAATTTAGCCCAGTACAATAATAATAAAAACAAATGACAGTTTAGAATGGACACAAGATCGGGCACCTTGAGATGTTTTTTGTATGAACAGTGACATAAGGAAGTGAATAGATAAAATTACTACAAAATGTTTAAAGTTGCTTGGCATGCTTAAATCCCTGCTGAGCTTAATGGTAGTACAATTGCTAAGGTAGCAAAAAATACATGTGAAAAATGAAACAATTATAAAAATAGCATACTGAATTCCAAAGCACTAAGTGCTGTTTAGATTAACTGTTCTTTATCACCTTAACAGAGTGCAGTTTAGTAACAGCTGCTAAACCAAAGTAGATGGGAAATAGAGCCAGGAGATTTGGATAAAATGAAAGAAACCGAACAAAAGACAGGAAGGGCTCTGTATTTAAAGGTGTAGTTCCTCGATAATGATTTTGGATGAAGGACCAATATTCCTACATTAAGTCACATGCTGCAAAAAAAAGAACAATCTTCTTTACTAAGACAAGAAAACCCTGATCCCTCCCTGACCAACATACTGGACATGTCCGATAAGCAGAACACAGTGAGGATTAGTAGCTGACTGAATGTGGAAAGTAGTCTTACCTTTGGTTTCTCTGTTCCTGCTCTTAAAGCTTTGTGCTGCTGGCATTTCAGGAACAAATCCTGTATTATGTGTGAGAACATTGGTCAGGGAGGTGGCCGCTCTCTCCTCTGTAAAACTGCTTCCCATCACTGTTCTCATTGTCAGACAGGCAGCCAACTCCCACCTCCTTATTGTGAGGGAAGGGGCATGTCTGCCATTGAACTCGGACAGCTCCACTGCTTCACAACTCGCCACTCTTCCTAAGGTAAAAACTGACTTTCCTGGACATCGGTCACTCACCAGATTCATTCAAGTGCCCATAGTAATCTAGTAGTCCTGGGCTCAGTTCCTGGAGTGAGTTTCACCTGGGTGCTCTGGTTTCCTCCCATGGTCCAAAGACTTACGGGCAGGTTCATAGGCTTCTAGAAGAAGTTACCCTGGTGTGCCACTTTTTGGTGTGTGCTTGTGTCTTACTGGGTTAGGCTCTGGCTCCAGCTCTCCTGTGGCCCTGTATCAGATGGAGTTGTTAGATAAGGAATGGATGAGGTGAGGGAATAGTAAATAGGTAAAAAGCCATGATAAAGGTCGCTGAACATAAGGTGAAACACTTATGAGAGCTCACAACAGTTGGCAACAGTTTTCCTGGTGTTTTACTCCAGGGAGTATAAAAATCGAACATCCGAGCTAGAAGGAGTTGTGTGGTGCTCCTTTGCTATCACATTAATTTTCTCTTTCTTCAGCATTTCCTCTGACCCAAA